GAATAATATTTTCACAGCAACAGCCGGGATTTTTTCCTATACTTCTATGAGTTTACCTTATAAAAACTAGAATACATTTTTTAAATAATTTAATTTGCGAACAGATACCCGAAGGTTTTTCTCTATGTTATCGCTAAAAGCTCCAAGAGATTCCACGAATTAGCGTCGTTTAATTGCTCATACGACGTTCACTTTAATCCAACCAGGCACCATCATTATCGCCCGTTTAATAACGCTAATGAATAAGCGAAAATTACACGTTTTGTGTTATTCTAAAACCCTTTTATGTGTTCGTGCGTGTCTTAATGAGGTTTACGTATTTAAAACGCGGGATAATTAACGCTGTCTGCGCATTCTTCAATGTGTTGTGTATGTTATGATCATCCTTCAGCGTTTTATAATCGACATTTAGATAATTATGTGTGTTTCGGTTTTTGAACAATTTTATTGAGATAATTTACTCCAGCGTTCTGATTTCTTTTCGCACGATTTTTAGCTCTACGACTATAGATTCTCACTAAAATTTGATTCATAGTAATACACCACGAGAAACCATGTTGCGCTCGCTGCGCTTAGCAACGACGCGATTCTACAGATGTAAAAAATAATATTAATCTTTCATTATTCACTTTTTCGTATAATTTTTATTTTGTTGAACTAGCGGCCCGCCCTCGCTTCGCTTCGGTGTAGAGCTGAAGTGTAGACTACATTGTTCTCAGGCTTGTATACACAATGACATTCATCTATGATTCTTCTTATAGCTGCATGAAAGTCTCAGCCCGATCGGTTTAAAATTGACAAAGTTTCATACAAACTTTCATTCCCTATTTTATCCCCTTGGGGATAGAATTGATCAAAATCCTTTCTTAGCGGATGCCTACGTCATAACTCTACCTGCATGCCAAATTTCAGCCCGATCCGTCCAGTGGTTTGGGCTGTGCGTTGATAGATCACTATGTCAGTCAGTCAGTCACCTTTGAGTTTTATATATATATATATATATATATATACTAGCTGACTCGGCGAACTTCGTACCGCCCAAAAGTAATAATTCCAATAAATTAAAATTGCGACTATAATTTGAGATTTAAACTATCCTATCTCTCAAGTTGGATCGAACTGCACATGGTGTGCGAATTTTATTATAATCGGTTCAGTGGTTTAGGAGTCCATTGAGGACAAACATTGTGACACGAGATTTATAAATATTAAGATATATATATATATACTAGCGGACCCGACAGACGTTGTCCTGTCTAGTATGGTAGCGCCGTCTGTCGGATCCAATGTAAAACATTCCAAAATCAACAACTACTAATAAATTAAAAATTAATTAAAAAAACATTGTCCAGCGGACAAAATTGTGAATCTAAACCATTCTCAGATTCCCTTGAACACACACAAAAAATTTCATCAAAATCGGTCCAGTCGTTTAAGAGAAGTTCAGTGACATACACACTCACAGAAGAATTATATATATAAAGATATATATATATATATAGTTATAATTTTTATTATTTAAAGCATGTAACTGCTTGATGTTTAAATCTAAAGAAAATATAACTAGAAAAAATATAAACTCATTGAGAAGAATTTCGACGCGGTCCGTGAGGGCCGCGGTAGCATAATTGGTCAGTGCATTCGCCCGGATTGCGAAGGGTGCGGGTTCGAGAGTCCCGTCTGCTGCTTGGTCCGCGTGGAATTTTTTCTAGTTATATTTTCTTTAGATTTAAACATCGAGCAGTTACATGCTTTAAATAATAAAAATTATAACTATAATTGCTATTTCTTCTTTCAAATGTTTAATACTTGTAAAAGTATTCATTTTACATTGTGGGTTACCTATAATGCGAAGAGATGGCGCTGCCTTGCAGCTTAAGAATGGCTAGAAGAATTTCGACGCGGTCCGTGAGGGCCGCGGTAGCATAATTGGTCAGTGCATTCGCCCGGATTGCGAAGGGTGCGGGTTCGAGTCCCGTCTGCTGCCTGGTCCGCGTGGAATTTTTTCTAGTTATATTTTCTTTATATATATATAGATTTGAAAATAATAATAAATATGGTTGTGTTGATTATTGAAAAAATACACGTAATTATAAAAAGCTGCATGAAAATGTTAAACAACTCTTAGGTTATATTCTAAGTGTGTAACCATTTGGGAATGGGCCAAATGCGAATAGGACATAATGCGAATGGGACCTTTTTTGAAATCGTGACGAAATGCCAATGGGACAAACCGCCACGCCCCGCTCCCGCGGCCTGCGTTGCGGAACGTGTGGTCCATAGAGAAAGTAACCAATCTGTTTAAAGTGGCTTAAAACGGAGTGTGTATGGTTACTTTCTGTATGACTGATCGAACTGGTGTCGCCAACGGTGACGGTCGGCGCACACTAATCGAATTTGTAACGTTATCGACTCACGAAGAATCACCAGTTTTTTCCGCTGCGAGGCGATTACGTTACGATTCCGATAAGTATGCGTTGCAGTAGGGAGTTTCACGCAAAGAATACGAACTGCTTGATACGGTGAAAATCCCTTTCCGAGATATGATGTGTCGACTACGACCTACAACCGTAAAATCGTAACCACGGCGCCGTAATATTTCCGCGACCACATGTTACATGTCACGCCATGTCATGTGCATCAATTTCCGGTAGACACGGGATGGGACGCCATTTTCGAACAGTTCGCTTTGTATTGTGGAGGCAGTGGATTGAAATGTTCCGTTCGCGACCGCAGCAAGCATTGTTTCGTAAATGCATTCCGAATATGATAATTAGTGCGTCTGTCTACCAATAACAGGTGATTCTCTTTTGTTCCCGAACGTATAGACAGCCACAATAGCTCAAAAGTCAAGTTACCCAGAAAACGGTCAAACTCTAACAACTTTGAATTTTATATTGGTCCATACAAACTATTGAGAAATTTTTATAGTTTATAAGCTGCGCAGACGAGGGACTTTGTCTGTCCGCGGAGGACAAAAGTCCCTGTATCGTGAAAATAATGTGCGCCGTGGACTTGTCACAGACTCAACGCAAATGGTGTGCTAAATTTATACCCCGTTTTTTTTAAGCACACACTATATTCTCAGATTACGTTATGTTTCAATAGGGGTGGCGACCGACGGGGTAATGAAAACGAAATTCTATTTAGCCGGTCAGTTGGATCATCATAAAATTTAAAACGTATTTTTTCTTTGATCAATCAACCAAAAAATTACAAAGATAAAGCGCGCCAAAGTTTGGGAGAGGGTAAGCACCCTTGTGGCGTCACTTTTAAGTAAAAAATTAAACAAAACGAGACGTCATGCGACATGTCAAATCAATATATCTCTGTAATGTTTTGATTATGTGGGAAGAGAAAAAATACATTTCCAATACTTTTATATAATCTACCTTATAGACGAAGTAAAAAAAAGTTAGTCGTCGTTCAAGAAAAAGGATAAAGTTCGCTTCGTGTGCGTTTCTGTTCTGCGCCTTGTCACATTTTTGAAGTAAAACTTCTTTACGCACGCGTTACGAAAAGTGTATTCGGGCGAGGCGAACGGGAGTTGAGTAATGGATATAGGCAAGAAAAACATGATACATACAGATGGAACTAAAGAAGTTTAACTTCAGTCGTGTGGTCATAAGCATACTCGTTTTGTTTGCGTGTACTCTCGCGTACATTTGTCCTGTCCGGCCTCGCCGCGTCCTCGGTTGTTCGGGGCACTTTTCGTAAGCCGTACTTTTAATCCGTTGTGTGCGTGACTCGATACAATTGTAAGCGACCTATTTCGGCGGACAAAAAAGACCGCTGACAAAAGTCGCCCGTCTGCGCAGACTATTATGGCAACTTGTTGTGGGGCTGATTATAGTACAGGTTACATTCAACCCTTTTTATATTTTTTTTCGATGACGAGAGAAAAACTTATTATATCCACGACAATGACCAACGCCACGTTGGTTTGCTGTTAACAAACCCTCGCGACGCGACGCTGGTAATTGCGTGGTGCATTCGGCAAGCGGCGAGCAGCCCGAGGGCCGCTAGTCGGTGCGGGTATACTTTGACGTGCACTCACGCCAGCGTGGCATACGTTAAACCACCCCTCCTCCGACCGGCAGCCCGGTCCGCACCCGCTTTAGCCGATTCTGGGCTTCTCCGTTCACAGCGTCACCTGACTAGTCTCACGGACCGCAGTCTGAGCGGCTAGCCAGCTGACCAGCTCCCGTACCTACCAGGTAAACCAACTCCCCGGTCTACCCCTCACCCTCCAGGCGTAACTGCGGGGTCCAGTTATGAGTCGCCGCTTGTTACGCCTGGAGGTTACATCCAACCTGACACAAATAGACTAACGGAGAGGTACGCTTGGATGAGTCGGTACTCATGGTGGCGAAGGAAAGCGTCAAGCCTTTTCCATTTTTAAGGTTTTCCTAAACTTAACGTTTATATTAATAAAAACATGTTCACAGAGGAATATTTCCTGTTTCCCCAAAATGTATTCATTCAAAATAAGCACACTTTTGTTAAAGGATAAGCTTTCTCCAGTTACTCGGGGGTTATTTACAACTCTTTAATCCGTGGCAGTTTCTAGGAAATATTTACGGAAACTGTCCGTACAGTTATTTTGCTTTTAAAACGACACTTAAGACCGCTATTTATGGAGAGCTGGTTGACACAACGGAATCCGTTTAAATATGTGGATATTTTATTCGAATGAAACAAAACGTTTTTAATCCAGTTCTAATGCGAGTATTTATTAATTTTAATGACTTTTTAGATATATTTCAGTCCCCCTACACATTCGTACCTACGAGTGCCCTCAGTCACTCAAACTTTTGATTCATGATCTGGCTGTATTTAATTTCATTTTTTTAAGAACTTGTATACTATGATATTGTGGTCTTCGTGGAACCTTCAAAAAGTAAACAAAGAGTCCACATCAGTCACACACACAAGCATTGGCCAAATATTTTAATTAATTGAAATAAAATGAAAAAAGTATTAAAAAACATTTTATTATACCGCAATAATAAATACCCATAAATTATTACCATATTAATAAATTATTTAATATTATTATATTCTCTTCACTTTTTCTTACCCTTACCCTTACCCTTCTTTTTCTTAACCACATCCGGTTCCGGTGGTGGTGTGACGGGTGCCTTAGCATCTGGCCACATTCGATGCACAAATTCCGCTACTTCTGAAATAAGAATATAGACAGTAACGTAATTAATATAAGTATGCAAATAGCAAATCAGCGAAAGAAGACAGTAAATTAGGGAAGAGGTTTTTTTTTGGTTAAGTTTTCCCTTTTCAGGGAAGGCAAGGGGAACAATGCCCATACAGTCTTGTCTTAAGTTAAATTATTCTGTTTTTCTTTTTACATTAGAATGTCGCTGTGACGCATTCTAATGTTTCTTGAAGTGTTTGGCACGAAATGTATCGAGCTGGCTTTTTCGATAAGCTACTGTGAGGTAGTCAATACTACAATAAAATTCTCACGTCCACTTGACCGGAATAGCGTATATTTTGACGATTTTACTAATTCTTCAGTTACGCAGACAGTTGTAACACAAAATCACACCAATTTTATTTCACAATATCCACTATGAACGAATTTAATAATAATTAAAATAAGACGCCAACCACACTCGATGAAATCCCGCCAAAAACTCCAGGGAAGAGGGGCACAACTAGTGTTGCCAGGTGTCGCGATTTGCGCGGGACGCCCCGATTTTCAGGGGACTGGGGACGCGTCCCGATTTGTACCTGATTGGGACATCAAATGTCCCGATTAATCAAAAATCAAATTAAGGTAATAAATATAATACTATACTTGCACTAGTAGTTTGAAACGCAATAAATTTAACCCCTTAAAAACTTAAAAACCCCTTATTTTTTGTTTACTGTCCCGATTTGCAACCCTAAATCCCGCTTTTTTTGACCTCATGTACCGATTTAAACCAAATCGGACCTGGCTACACTAGGCACAATCCCGCCATAAATACGATCAAAGAGCGAGACCACTAGTTCTCTAGGAAAATAATTAAGTGGTTATTCCTTTGAGCAATATAAGTCACAAGAATTTATCAACTATCAGAATACCTATCTATCTACAAAGTATCAGGTCAGGGTTTGAGCTTCATCGCAATTCTTTAACTTAGTGATTTTTTCTTTATTAATATCGCTTATCTGGAAAACTGCTTTAACAATTACTATGGCATTTTTTATTTGGATAAAACTTTTCTTGGGTCATTTTCTTTTGATATAATAATGAATAAGTTAATTGGTTACAATAGAATTTTAATAAACACTGACGGTTGTACTACAAACAAGTTAGACACGATTTCAAACCTTGTACGACATTTTTTCTTAAACTAGTTTGTTGAACGCAGGTCCAACTATTTTGTGGTAATAAGGTAAGATTTTTCGTTTTGTATCTATCATTAAACTAAGTTTTTATAGAAAAACGCAAAAAATAGTGACTAATGCTTTCTTTAGGGTGCGTGCTTATAAACAAGTGATCGCAAATTTTACAAAGACTACAAAATTAAGTTTGATTTCGAGAGAGCGTCGATAATGCCGTTTAAAACGATGTATCATCGAATAACAGGATCGAACATTTATAGAATTAACACATTTCACGAGAAAGAATCCTCAATAAACCAGGAAAGCATAAATTGTATTGCACCATTCGTAAAAATGTTACATGAGGTACCATAGGCGTTTTGACTACGTACTAGACCGCAGATTAAATATAAACCTTACCAGATTAAATATATTATAACCATAATAAAGTAAGACATGCATTCAACACGAGTTTAAGAAAAAATTACTTACAAAATTTGCACAAAACAAGGTTTAAAACTGTCTAACTTTTTTAGTAAGACTGAAATTGATTTAACTTACTGTCAAGGTTTATGGTCTTCCCGCCTTTGTCGGTTTTTGGACCCGGGAAACAGTTAGCCAGCTCCTCCACTAAACCTTCGTCTAAGGGAGCGCCGGATACTTTCAGGTCGCGCATAAACTCTCTCACTTGAATTGCGTCTCGTTTCTTCAGCATTTTTAAGAAATAGACACTAGCAAAGAATATTATAATTAGAACTTTCCAAATACTTTTTTTATATATATGGCCAGGTAGGCAAATGACTCTACCCCACCTGATGTTAAGTGGTGATGAAGTCTTAACGCGAAGATAGCTGGTACAGCAGTATAAACTGCCACACCAACCATCCTCATCTTGCGATTTAATAGCAAACTACAGGCTGTGTTCCATCTGAAATTGCGATGAGGTGTCACATAGAGTCATCATTTCACTCGCCTTTCCGGTCTGAAATCAGCTTCAAAACCCTGATTGCTCTAACAACCTTATGTCATGCACACAATAACGGTAAGATAAGATAAAAATATAGTATTAGGCTGTAGTTTTGGTAGTCTTTTGAGAATGTTATGGCACAGAGGTTAGCGCATTCACTCGGCGATTCTGAAAGTAACTTTGTCTATGGCTGACCAAAGGAGAAAAAAATCATAATCTCGAGCTCATACATGATTCAGAAGCAGAGCCGGATTTATGGCAGAGGCAGAGACATACAAAGAGAGGGGCCCCCACAACAGAGATAAAAACGAATTTCGAAGGGCACAAACCAGGGGGGGTGCAAAACATAAGTGGTCCGGCCTCCACTCCTTCGGTGTCCAGGGGCTCCACACCTCTAAATCCGGCCCTGTGCAGAAAGCACGTTAAACCACTAGCCTCCTAGATCCTAGCAGCATCTGCAGTCATTACCACAACTCATTCGCACTGGTGGTTTATGGCCCATTCTTCCTTTTCCGTCACAGGGAAGGCGAGTGTCCCAGCAGTGATCACATTAAAAGGCTGTTGATTATGTCTTTTATTGGAAGATTCGTCGCTGAACCAGTATAAAGCTTGCTTGCTTCGCTACCCAGCTAAGCTCTGGCGACACATGAACACTTGTGTAGTGTTATTTTGCTCCAGATTAAATAGTGTTACTTTGCTCCAGACTATTATGAGAGACAATTTCAACGAAAGATCCAATTCGAGGCGAAAATTCGCTGTAGCGTTCTCTTATCTTAATAATAATAATAATAAACTTAATGTTTGGGATTAGGCCAATTTAGAATTTATAATATTTAGTTTCCACTTTTGCACTGAACAGACACAAGCTAGCCATGTTAATTCAAATTTCTGTTTGAAACACTATGAATAGACTTTAAAAGCAGTGATCGTTAAAGTTAAACAACTTTCGCAGTGGTCGGTCATTGGATGGCTGACTAAAAATTTACTAACTCGTCTTCCTCTGTGCTTCAGAAGGCACGTTAAGCTGATGGTCCCGGCTGCATCTGCAGTCGTTAGTACCTATCAAACCGCACTGGACTCACGTCATGGCGCAATTCCATCTATAGAGAAAATCTGTGCCCCAGCAGTGGGGACATTAATAGGCTGATGATGAAAGACTCTAAAACTAACGGCATGTCCATGGTACATCTCTTCGAGGAATCGGTTATATAGAAGAGCCTTCTCATGACGATTTCTCGTAAATCAGGTACTGATAATGTATAGTCATGAATCACTTTCCCGTAGGTAATCTTGACGGCCTTTCGATGCGGCAGTGACAAAACCTCCGGAAGCATCTGCAAATGTTTGACAAAAAACTTACATAAATCTTTGAAAACTAAGATAACTTTATGGTGCTTAAGCAGGGTTAAATATTTGCTAATTTCTCGCAGTAAAACTAATGCATACTGAAAACATTTACATTGGTCAAAAATCTATTCGATTCCAGGATTTTTACTCTGCTACGTTGCTGGAATTTAAGATTAGCTTAAGATATAGAATTGAAGTGAGGACACTTCATAAATGTTTCATATCGTAGACTTATTCAGACGTGCATAATAGATATACACTTGAATACAATAAGCAAACGTAAATATTCTGTTACTATACGACGAGGAAGACACGTGCCATTAAATTTACGTAATACGTAATAATTTACGTATTACGTAAATTACGGCGCATATTATTGATTTATAAACACCAATTTCGTAGTATGCAAATATTAAGGAAAATTTTCCAAACATGACTTTGCTTTTAGACACATAAGCAGTCAAGCCTCTATAAATTGATCGATCAATTCTCATCGCATTAAACCTTCAAGTCTGTAAAAAAAAAATTAATATTTTTTGAAACACCTTAATATAATACTAGTGTCTGAAAAATATGTTTACGAAACTGTGTGTTTACGAGTAAACTATTTTTAACAACAACTTTTCAACTATAAATGTATCTAGATTTTCCGAAACCTTAAACTTTGTTTACGCATAAGAATACATATTTACGAAATTTGCTTAGTGCATTCAATTGAATATCTATTGCGTACGTCTGATCAAGTCTACGATATGAAACAGAATATTTATGAAATTTTGTCTAGTGCCTTCAATTCTATATCTTAATTATATTTGTCTACGATATGTCAGGTCTCAAACCATAGCAAATTCTTTGTTGACAGTGATGTTGTCCATAAACAGGTTCAGCACCACCACATCCGACTCCTTCATCTTCTCCAGCAGAAGCAGGGCGTCGTTGGAAGTCAGCGGGTTGTTGGACAAGTCCAAGGTGACAAGCTTCTGGGCTAACCGGAGACTAGAGCATATCACCCGGGTTGATGCGGACGATAACCTTTACGTATTTGAAGCTTTTTGTTTTAATCTAAGATTAAAAGTTAAAAACATCGTGAAGCTCGCTGACGCAAGTCGTTAGCGTCTGTGATCGAGGATGTTAAGTAAGTTTCGCAATAGCCGATCATAGGGTGCATGTAGATGGGTGATTAAAGAACTAACTAGCAAACCAGTGAACCAAATGTTCACCAAAACCTGATTTCTCGAAAACCGGAAGTGCTACGTTACTCAAATCCGGTTTGTAGTCTTATCAGACTATTCTTAACTTATAACTTAAATATTCTCTTTATCTATCTCTTACGGTTTGGCCGCTGAAACAGCACCACAGACAGACGGACTTGTCTAATAGATAAGAGATAATTCGAGCTCCTCCGTGCTTCGGCACGTTAAGCCATTGATCCCGGCTGCATCTGCAGCGGTTAGCACCCACCAATTCACACTGGATCTGCATTGTGGATCATGTCCGATTCTCCCTGCTCTGCTCTGCCCTGCTCTTTTTGAACTGAGCCCAATCCCCCCTAAGGTTTACAGGTCAGGGAATCGTCTAGTGTCTCCCAACATTGTATATGATCTCCAGACTCCCGACAAATAACGAAATCTCCCGACAAACGAACATGGGCACAGGGGGTAAACGACAAGTGAGTAAATTTTTAAAATACGCTCCTGCTTACCATCCAGTATACTATATTTGTTTGACATGTTATGAAATTAATTACCTATTATTGCTAAGATCCAAGACCTTGAGTGTGGGTATAGCCAGCACCCGCCTCAGGGGCTGGGCTACAGTCAGACCGTTCCATGACAGATTCAACTCCTCTAAGACATTGTTGTCACCGAGCATGCGAAGAAGGTCACCTATACCTGGAGAACCGTTATTAAGTATATGTAGTCCACATATATGTGTAGGTATATTTAAAAATAGTTGTGAGATTTTAGTACCCTATGCATAAGCCCCACCTAACTATTATAAGCAAGGACCACGGTTAAAATTTGTATGGAGGGATGGTAGTCAGTCTACGGCAGACTCCATTTGAATTTTTTGACATGTACTTCACGTAATTGTAAATCTTTTGACAAAAAGCTTGAATTTATTTTATATCCGTTTTTTAAAATAACTATTATAAAGAAAATATAACTAGAAAAAATTCCACGCGGACCAGGCAGCAGACGGGACTCGAACCCGCACCCTTCGCAATCCGGGCGAATGCACTGACCAATAATGCTACCGCGGCCCTGATGGCCACGTCGAAATTCTTCTAGCCATTCTTAAGCTGCAAGGCAGCGCCTAGTTTTTTCTAGTTATAGATTTAGATTTAGATTTATTTATTGCAAAAAATATGGTACAATAAGATGACATGTATACATATTTTACCATAAATGGCATGCAATTTATACAAAAGACTAAATTAAAGTTAAATTAAATTAAAATAGGGGTCTTTACTATACAATTATAAATACCATGATATAATTATATTACAAATAATTCCATTAAATATTTTTTTGATTAAAATTATATCTATACAGAATCTTCAATCATATTCATTCATTTCAAAATAAACCATGTAATACTAAATAAATAACTAATTTACATTATTCGATTGTCAAATTTGTCATTAAAAAAATCTTCTACAGTATAAAAATTTTTTTCCTTGAGCCAAGTCATTAGTTTTGATTTAAATAATTTACTGGGTAGACATTTTATTTCATTAGGTATTGCATTATATACTTTTACACACATACAATTACATTGTTTTAAGTACCAAGTTAATTTCGGTAGATTATTAAATATTAATCTATTTGGGTCTCTTACACTTTTGTTTTGATTTCTCATTTTAAAAAGATTAAAATTGTTTTTTACAAAAGTAGCAACTTCAAATATGTACAGACATGGAAGGGGCAGTATGCCCAATGATTTAAAGAATGGCTTACAAGACTCGCGTGGGGAAAGCCCACAGATCGCCCTTACACATTTTTTTTGGACTTTGAACAGTCTATCCGCGTCGGTTGAATTTCCCCAAATTAAGAGTCCATACCTAAGCATGCTACCAATATAGCCATGATAGGCTGTCAGAGTAGTTTGTAACGCAGCCATGCTTCTCAACCTTTTCAACACAAATACATAGCGGTTCAACTTATTACTTATCAGATCAACGTGTTGCTTCCAAGAGCAATTATCATCCAGTAAAATACCTAAAAATTTTGTTTCACTCACATCCTCGATTGTCTGACCTTTATAATTAATATTTAGTGGTATTTTAGTTTGTCTACTTGTACCGAACTGCATAAAATTTGTCTTTTGAAGATTCACTGTCAAATTATTAAATTTAAGCCAATTTATGACATTCTCAATACAAGCATTTATCTCGCTTTGAAAGTTACCAGGGCCACTGCAGTAAGGAATGATTATGGACACATCATCCGCGAACAGAACACATTTATGACCGTTTGCATCAGGAAGATCATTAATGTATAATAAAAATAACAATGGACCTAGCACACTTCCCTGAGGCACACCATATTTATTCATTAGGTATTCAGACTTATTTGAAACCACCAGTGAATCCTCCGCTAGACTATTGATCTCTACAGCTTGTTTTCTATTTGTTAAGTAAGATTTAATCCAGTCTAATGTAGTACCTCTTATACCTAAATTATGTAACTTAAGCAGTAGCAAATCATGAGAAACAAAATCAAATGCACGTTTCATATCAAAAAATACCACGGCAGTAGGTTTCTTTGCATTAACATGTTCAACTACATCACGCATCAAGTTAAAAATGGCTAAAGTTGTTGATTTATTAGATTGAAAACCAAACTGTTCTGACTTCAATATATTGTATTTTAAAATAAAACTAAGTAACCTTTTTTTCATAGCTAATTCAAAAATTTTCGATAATACTGGTACCAGAGTAATAGGCCTATAATTTTCTACTGCAGTCCTTGAACCCTTTTTAAAAAGCGGTTTTACTACCGATACTTTTAAAAGTTCAGGGAAACTGCCACTCATCAATGAGAGATTTACCAAATGTGTAATAGGGGCAGTAAGTTCAATCACAGCATATTTTAAAACCTTGGTAGAGATGCCATCATAACCTGTGGCGTTTGTATTATTTAGTGAATTAATTATAGACTTCACTTCATCAACATCTAATGGATGTAAAAATATACTATTTGGAACGCGTTTTTCATTAGTGTTTTTTAGAATATTATCATTACATTCTGTTGTTTTTATTAGAAAGTTATTAAATTCATTGGCAATATATTATCTTTAGATTTAAACATCAAGCAGTTACATGCTTAAAAAATAAAAATTATAACTATAATTATTATAATTTTAAATGTCACAGTTATTGATTGGTAATTGACAAGTTTATTTATGTAATATTAACAAATATTTTCTATTCAATAGGTAACTAGAGCAGTGGTAATGATTCCGTTCATCTCTCATTATGTTATTAGGATATTTTGTGGGTATTGAATTTCAAGTAAAATCAATCAATAATAATTGATATTTTCTCTACGATTTCACGAATAGCGGCCATGACCGGGCTAATTTAGATTTTACACTGATGATTGAGTTCACGTTAATAAACTGGTACAGACTAAAATATGACGTTACTTATGACACCCTGACAAACTTACGAAATTGTTCTAAAAAAAAATTTAAAATTAAATTATATTATAAAAAAATATAATTAATATAATAAATAATAAAATAAATAAATATTTATTATTAATTATTATAATATTATTTTTATTATTATTTTTTTTTTTTAATTTTTCAAATCGGTTTATTAATATACCTTAATACATTAATTCATCATCATCAGCCTATTAATTGCGTTCCCTATATATATTGCTGCGTTCCCTATGGATGGAATAGGGAGATTGGGCCATGACCCACCACGCGGGCCCAGTGCGGCTTGGCGGGTGTTAACGACTGTAGATGCAGCCGGGACCAACGGCTTAACGTGCCTTCCGAAGCACGGAGGAACTGGAGATAGAAGATTTTTGGTCACCAATCCAATGATCGACCACTGCGAAAGTTGCTTAACTTCAACGATCGCAGCCGAACGCGCTAACCACCCGCGCCATCGAGCTGCTCTATACTACATTAATAAATTATAAAATAGAAATTATAAAATTCTGTTCATTAACAAACTTTCAAATGATAATATATTATGTTTCATCGCTGCCGGAAACCGACGACCACTTTTGAACCATCTCCTTTATTGATCATACTTGCGTTACTAAACTGTAGATCACGTAAAAACTACTCAATTGACTTTGGCTTCCGTTTGCCACTTAGGGTTGCCACCCGTACTTTATTATAAAGTATTGTACGTTATTTCGGGTAATTGTACTCTATACTTTATGCCAACAATAAAGTACGCGAAAATACTTTATTTAATGTGATTTGATTACTTGGGAATTAATTTTACATATAATATAAATAAAGAGGATAGGAAGATTTTTTGCGTAAAACGGAACAACAGTATGTATAATATGTCGCCCTTAGCCCATTCCTGCAACATTGTCGCGGCTGTATGGCTTTGTACAATGGTCTTTCCCATTGCGGATAAGAACTACAGAATTTTAGTAGCCACAAATTATTTATTAAATATTGCTATAAGCACCGTAAAATATATTTTAAGCTTACTAATAAAGTGGATTAAAATGTACTTTATTTTGGACACAATGTACTTTTTTTTCTACCTTTCATATCCAATGTACTTTATTTGGACTTAAAAAAGGTGGCAACCCTATTGCCACTCTCCGGGTAAGACGCCCTAAAACATCTACACTCGATTTTTTGGCGGGATCGGGAAGCGTCACTTTAGCAGTTTTGTTTTTCTTGTTAAAAATTGTGTTGTGGCGGATTTTAGTGTCTAATAATGATGGATTATTAACCACTAAGTGTTCGCGCACATGCACAAGTGTTGGCAAGTGAAACAAAATAGCGGAAAGTGTCTTTCGACGTTCCCTCAATAAGTCCACGGGGAGGTTCCAGTAAATCCCCACACATTTACTGAAACATAGGGAAAGGGGGATTGACTTGACTGCCTCTTACTTTGACTTGATTTATTACTTTGACCACGAGGTCTATAGAATTTGTAAACATTTTAACACTTGACATTGGCTAAATGCACAAGCCGTGCGAAGCTATTTAGGAAAAAAAAAACATCTACACTTCTGTACTACCAGACAAATCGCCGTCGATTAGCGAGAAATTTTCGAAAATTTAGTACTCCAATTTAGAGACAAACGCAGGAACTCTGCACACGTTGAAAATAAAAGCAACCTGCAACTTGAACCCTTGTCCTGTTTAATATTTATGAGAACGTCAGTGCCAAATAGCCGCGGAAAGTTCGTAGTACAGCTAAACGATTCGAAACGGCCACCCCGCGTCCGGCTGGACAGTTTTATTATTTAATTCCGGCTTTTGCAAACTCGATTTCGGTCAAATGGCACAGGTTAAAGTGGTTATATTCGTATATAACAAGGTATGCAAGCCTATGATACAGCAATATAGGGCATTAATTTTTTTTATACTTAACTATAGAAAATATTACTAGAAAAAAATCCACGCGGAACAAGCTACAGACGGGACTCGAACCCTCTTTCGCTATCCGGGCGAATGCACTGACCATTATGCTACCGCGGCCCTGATGGCCGTGTCGAATTCTTTCTAGCCTTTCTCTCTCTTCTCATCTCATTATAGGTAACCCACAATGTCAAATGAATACCTTTACAGGTGAAGGTATACTTAAGCTATAGTCAAGTTACCATTATATTTTTTTAAGCATAACTGCTCGGTGTTTAAATCTAAAGAATATATTACTCAAGGGTTTGAGTCCCGTCTGCTGCCTGGTCCGCGTGTTCTTTTTTCTAGTATTATTTTCTTTAGATTTAAACAACAAGCAGTTACATTGCTTTAAAAAAAATATTATAACTTGACTGTAGCTTAAGTATCCCTTCAATCTCTCGAAATTGAAAACCTGTGTTTAATATAAAATCGATTCCGTTACTTTCTAATATAACACTTGATAGATAATATCTCGATAAATAACTTTCTTCGGAAGTGATAACAAAGATCACGTCTGTTACGATTGTTATTGACGTAGGTATTTTTTTTTTATACAAAAACGAAACTTTTGCTAATCAATAAATTACTCCAAGTACTATTACTGGTTTACAAACTTAAGGAAAGTCCCTTTTTATTCAGAGGGAAAATAACCGAGCTGGGGTTTCTAAAAGCTTAATTTTTGTAGGCCTTGGATAATGGCTTTTCTCAGCTTTTTTCATTTCAATAATATTTTAAGGTACAATATTTTGTCCCTGAACCTCCAAGTCAGCTGCTTGTTTGTTAGGTATAGAACTGAAACAAAGTGTTTTTTGGGGGTTGTTGGTAACACTGTACCCCTAGCACGAACCAATATCGGGTCCGAAATGTCATTGTCAAATGTGTACTGATTTTTAGTTCTCGTTACGTACTTTGTGCCGCTGCTGTTCAAGTTTCTATACAAAATTTGACGTTGACATTTCGGTTTGCAAACTATTCGAATTCGATAATGGTTCGTGCTAGGGGTAGTTCTTTTATTCCGTCAAACTCTTGTTATATTGCCGAAACCACAGACCAACAGAAACCTTTCCACCTCATAAATAACTTTTAAGCTTTAAGAAATTTATCGAGAAAACTAAAGTTCATTTCCGTGGGTAGGTATTTATGTACTCCCTTATTTCCTAGAAGAAAAAAAAAAGAGAACATAAACCTGTCTGGAGGCATAAAACTTTATCTCCGGTCGCAGGCTATTCATAAAAACTAGCAAAGTATGCACCGCTAATTAACCTCGGATTTTACAACTGAGGGTTGCTGTAAGACCAGCTAACTAGAGCTAAACATATCGTGTATTCGTGTCACTAATTAGGACAACACTGGTAGTCTCGGTGATTCCCCGCAGTGCCTTTTGTATCGAACTTTACAAAGTTACCTACAAGAAGAAAATTTTTAATTTCTTTTTTTCCTTTTAATCGTTAGTAATAAGTCTACCTATTGTCAAGAAACATATTACCTGCAAATTGAAAACCATTAGGTTCTATGTTTTACTTGGTTTTGATGTTAGTACTTATGTTTTATACGGTAGAAAACTGATCTAAATGGTTCGTGGAAAATCCATAAGTATTCTGAAGAACCTGTCAACATGTTGCTTGATTCTACTAGGTAACTAATGGCGCTATTACATTTGGTCGGTAGCCCGTATTCCGGTGCAAGAAAGACATCACTCGAATTCGGGCACCAGAAACATTGTTTACACTGGAATACGGTCTGAAAGACTGTATCGGGTAAACAAAAGGAAATTTACCCTAATACGGGTGTACTCGACTCCGTTCTTTTACACTTAGTCGTTTACCCGAATTCCATTGGCACCTTAGATTAATACAAAAAGGGTAGATACGGCACTAGCCTCACAAAAGTGATCCGCTTAAACTGTGGTCCACGACCCTAATCGCTTTAGTCACAACTTGACATGCAAACGACGTACATGTGAACGCCAAAAAGAAATATTGCTAATATTTTGTGTTTATATGATAAAATAATGCCTAAGTGTGTTTTTAAAAAGTGTTCAAATTGCTCAAGAACTAAAAATAAAACCCACGGCATCACTTTTCATTCGTAAGTACTATAAAATATATTTTTTCATAAAAATTGCTGTTTGTTTTGAATCTTATTCGGTAGTGACGTTGAGTACTGGTCGCTTGATTGGTCGGTAGTGCAGTGACGCGGATCTCACCGTCTCGTTCACGCTGCCGTTGAAACTTAACGTGCTGTTTAGTTCGGGTCGGTAATGCAGTGACGCGGATCTCGCCGTCCCGTTCGCACTGCCGTGGGATCACTTTTTGTTTGATGCAAGTATGAGCGTACCGTATCTACCATTTTTGTTTTAATCTAAGATTGGCACTCGTATTCGAGCTAACGACCAAGTGTAATCGCGGCATAAGCTTCCCAAACCTATTATTATTTCAATGCGTTGATTTCTGCTCAACGTTCCATATTGAAGTTATTTTTACTAGCCTCACCCTTAGGAGGAAATAGCTTGTTCCAAGACAAATCGAGGTGCGTGAACTTGTTGTTTCCTTCAATGGCTTCACACAGTGCCAAAGCAGATTCTGGGCCCAGCTCGTTGTTGCTCAGGCTCAACCTGTGGAATCCAGACATTTTTTACAACATTCAGTGTGGTAAGTAATCCACATAGCTTTCACAAAGGAGCTTAAATGTGCACTCGCTGATTTCGCTGGCTTATCTGCTTACTATGAATTTAGCTTTAAAATGCAGGCCACACCTGGAGCAGCTAACTAGGTGATGCTAAGTAAGCTAAACGTAATAAATAGGTACACAGTTTCAGAGTGAAAACGAAAATGTATAGTTCGACGCTTTATATTATAATGATTTTAATCGTCTCTGAGATAGTGAGCTTATCCCGCGACTGACTGTATGAAAAGTGATGGCTCTGAAATAACAAAATACGAATCAGTGCAAGTAAAAAAAATAAATTCATTAAAATAACTACACTTAAATAATTATGGTTTTCTCCTCAAAAAAGAGCGTACTCCTTCCTTGAAGGCCGGCATCGCATTTGTGATACTTCTGGTGTAGCTGATGTCTATGGGGGAAGGTGATCACTTACCTTCAAGTGAGCTGTCATGCGTCAGCTCTTATGCTCCCTATAATATATAAAAAAAAGAAGTTTATAGGGTAAGCAATGCTCATGTGATTCTCCCAGTGTGCAGGCGTCCATAGGCCACGGTGACCGCTTACTATCAGCCGAGCATTATGCTTGTTGGCACGTTGGCCTTTCATAAATATAACTGAAGGCATGAGGAAGCATTTCTGCAGACCGGCAAGGTGAGCATGGTTGGTGTGGCAATACTGGCTGGCTGTACCAGCTATCTTCGCGTCTGGACTTTAACACCACCCAACTTCAAATGGGGTGGAGTTCATTTGCCTACCAGGCTTTAAAAAATATTGAAGCATTTCAATAAATTTATCATTCTGATCATTTCAAAACCACTAGGCCTGAAAAGGTCCCCCAACGTCGAGAACTGTGTAAAAGTATTTCGGGGACTGTAAGAAACATGATTCTATACCTTTTTATAACAGCACCTTTGATGATCTGTTCGGTGAGATAGAAGAAACCCTGGTCGCCGATGCCATTCTTTGACAAGTCCAATAGGTCCATGCTCCTCCCAGGGAGGCGACACACGAGTCGTTTGAGACATACAGGTTCTATCCTGGAAGCAATTACGAGTCTCCGGATACAAGTATCTTCCAAAGCATAATCTCTACAAAGTGTTGTCCACTTTTTTCCGAAAAAAGCTTTAGAATTGGAGTGGACCGTAAATGGAGTGACCCTGTTGTTTATTTGGTACTAATATAATTTTCATGTATCTCATGGTAATTGTACCACCAATATATTCTATCCACCTTTGCTCCTCGTGATAGATAAAGGGAGAAGAATACTAAGAAAGAGTGTAAAATTATTAAAATTAATTCACTAGTGACGGAGCACTACGATTGTGGAAGTTATTATAAGAATAGATTTTGGCAACGGCCGTCCATCGGATGGGTGGTTAGGAATGAAGTATCATTCACTTCTCCAATCTTCAGAAAGCTCTATTAATCCGCTGGTCTAAACTGTGTTTGCTGACGTGAGCACCCACAAATCTGCCAGGGCTCGGTGGTGGCATATTTTACATTTTTTTTAATAGTCGTAAATAAACTTTTATAAAAAATAAAAGTTTGTAAAAAGTTTAGTTATAACTTTTATTACGTCGCCATATTTTTTTCATCCCACCACCTCGGAAAGTGTAATTTTGCGCTTCGAAATCTGGCTGGAAAATTCTATTTTATTCGCTTGAGCGGCAAAGTAGATTTGAATTTAGAACATCACATATAATGAGTACTCAATATAATTGTAAATTCAAAACGTCATTAAACCTATTTAATGTAACCTCTATGGTGCCAAATTTATGATTAGAACTTTTTAAATTGTGAAAAAATTTAAATTTGGAACCTTCTTGGTTTCTTTGTTTTATTTGCGTGCTTCGCGCCATTCTAGTTTTTCACGTTTTATTGCTTAATATAATTAACATAACCTAAAAACTGTACAAAAAAATCAACTAAAATGAGTGACATTAGCGACGATGAAGTTTATCTAACGCCAACTGAGTTAACTGAAACAGTTAATAATGCGCAAATGAGCCTTCTCCCTCAGCAATCACGAGAGAAGTATTTGAAACAGTACGATATATTTAACATGTGGCGACTAGCTAAAGGAGCAAAAACTTTCTCCGAAAACGTTTTGCTGGCATATTTTATAGAATTATCTGAGACCAAGAAAGCAAGCACGCTATGGAGTACGTATTCAATGCTAAAATTAACAATTAAGATGAAGAAAGACGTTCATATCGACACCTATCATAAATTAGTGGCATTTTTAAAAAGAGCCTCATCTGGTTATAAACCAAAAAAATCGAAGGTTTTCACAGCATCTGAAATTGCAAAGTTTATTAATGAAGCACCTGATTCCGTATATTTAGCGGCAAAAGTAAGTCAATACGTGTAATTTTTTGTTGTTGATAAAATTGTACATAGTACTTACAATATTTTTAATTTGATTAATTTATTTACGATTATAAATACTTCTTTTGTTACAGGTTGTTCTTATTATTGGTATAACCGGAGCATGTCGAACAAATGAACTTACACTACTTAATGTCAATAACGTATCAAAATATTCTCATAATTCTGATGAATTGCTATTAATTAATGTACTAAATACCAAGACAAAAAAAGACCGCAACTTCGTTATTCGCAAGGAATATGTAAACATTGTTCAGAAATATCAAGCTTTACGTCCTTCTAACACCCCAATTGAACGATTTTTTCTACAATATCGCAACGGAAAGTGTATCCGACAACCTATGGGTCAGAATAAAATTGGCAGTATTCCACGAGAAATAGCAACTTTTCTCGGACTTTTAGAACCCCCGTTATACACCGGTCACTGTTTTAGAAGAACCTCAGCCACACTTTTGGCCGAATCAGGGGCTGATCTTCTATCGCTTAAGCGCCATGGAGGCTGGAAGTCTAATTCGGTTGTAGAGGGATACATAGAGGATTCAATCCAAAGTAAATCAAAAATTTGTAATAGTATCGTGGAGGCCATAACGCTGAAAGAACCTCTGTCAGATTCTTGGTCTCGCCCTTCTACATCTAAAATGAGCCCCCATAAGATTGGAAACAATAGCCCTCTCTCGCCAACATTTACGCCAATAGAATCCAATGAATCGGCACAACTATTTAAAATTACTGATACGAGTAGTTTACCACAAAACAGCGCACAATTCACAAACACCAACATAACATTACCTAACAAAAATATTAAACTTAACATAAGTAACTGTAGCAACGTTACATTTAATATTTCTTAATTATTTTCTACTTCTTATTATTTTCTTCAATTTATAGATTATCTTAATGTGTTTTAATTGAAATAAAAATATTTTGTCATTATAAATTGTTTTCTTTTTCATTTTGTCATTTCCTCGCTGAGGTGGGATGAAAAGTTACGTATTGCACTCGAGTGGAAAGATTTTTCACCTTGTGCTCGTTTGTTTCCCTCGCTGACGCTCAGGATTCTAATTTAGAATCACTCGCTGCGCTCGTGATTCAACTTTAGAATCCTTCGCTTGCTCGGTCATCCAAATCGAGCACGCGGTTAAAAAGGAACTTTCCACTCTTGTATAATAAATAACTATTTCGTTCCTCTTTAGCACGAAAATGAGAGAATCTTTAGCATGTCGCATTACAGTTTTAATTGTTGTTCAAAAATCTAGACCTTATCAACGAGTTGCGGTGGTTCAGTGGAAGAAAGCCCTCCTGCCGTGTGGGCGGTCCAGGTTCGATTTCCAGTTGAGGAAGGACAGAGTTACATCAACTAACGAAAAAACTTGAGGCTATTAAAACGATTTAAATCTGTGATTAAAACGCTTTAAGTGTTTCACTTGCATGGTGGTTCCATAAAACCGGACCAATTTTTAATAAAGTATTGTGGATAGTGCGAAGATATTTAGTCCTCTTGTTGCACCGGGATTTCGTTTTTTATTTCTTTATTCAGCAAAAAAATTACAATCTATCTGCCAAACTGCAACGCAGTTTGTCGGAAGTTTATTTTTTAAAATCAGGTAAAATTTCGCGAGTTAATGTTAGCTTTTTAGATCGATTTATTTGTAAGTTGTTGTCTTCTGGCACTGAATTGACAGAACAATTTTTTGCACAATGATCTTTTTTATTTGAATAATATAAAGTAGTCATTTCAGCAAAAAGAGGTTTTACTGCTTTAACATTTTTCTCTAAGTGATTTTGTACATAGCATAGGTAAAGTGGTCTCATCAGCTGGACATGTGGACGCTTAGGATTCTAAAAGGCGAACTAAAGTTAATCTTGGTTTAAACCTAGTGTCTCTGTTTCCTTTTAAGCAACCAAAAGTGACAGCAGTAGTTTTAGTCCAGAGGTCCAAGCACGAGTTTTTGACAGCTTCATAAAGTATCGCATCGTCAAAGTTTGTATGAAAACTAAGCAGTGCCTCTATCGGGCGTAAGAAACTAGCTTATTCCATACAAAATTTGACGCTTATCGTAAACTTTACGGAGCTGTCAAAAACTCGTGTTCGGGCCTCTGGTTTAACTTTCGTCTACGTTTTGCAATAAGGCGGTTGGAGTCTGATGATATAATAATTGTAGGTGTTTACTTGCAGCTGGACAGCACCAACTCCTGCAGCGTGACGTTTTCCCCCAGCAGTTGCCCGAGGTGGTAGCAGGCATCCTCGTTCAAGAAATTGGAGGTCAGGTCCAGGTGTTTGACGGCTGTATTTCGCAGGAGAGCCAGGCTCATTGCCCTCACTCCAACTGGGTTCACACAATAATACTGAAAAAAAATGCGTTAGTGTCGTGAAACACTCGGTTGGAACGAAGTTAAGCTGCCTAGCTAGTTGCCAAGCTAGCTGCCTAGCTAGCTAGCTGCAAGCCCCCATCCGCTAGACCGTCGGAAGAAGAACTTTGGTCCAAAAGTTGCCGACAACTATATTATACCTGCATATTGTAAGGCCTCGAGGGATGTTTTTCATTGTAATACTCTTATTTCTTTTGAAGCTTATAAAATTATATCGCAATTTCAGGACCTGTTGTACACGATAAGCTAACGTCACGAGCAAAATTTTAATGCTATTAGTGTCAGGACATCCATCTTGGCTACGACCTTGCCACTATGAGCGACAGCTTAAAGCGAAACGGCGAGCAATGAAAATAAAGGACATGGCTAAGAAACTGCCCTTAACGTGTATAAATATTTCGCACTAGCCCGTAACGTTACAATATTTTTTTATTAATTATTACGTGTTTATTATTCTCATACAACTTTCGTGAAATAATCAAATATTTGAAAGTATAAAAATTGAATTCCGTGTTAAACAATATTATTTCTAAACTCCTTCAAAAGGCCCTAATTTTTGTTACAACAAATCACGGAAGGCCTAAAATAATAGATTTTATTATTCTGATTAGGCTTGAGACAAGGCTGTATGATAATTAATCCTTTAATTTTTCCAAATGGACAAAATAAAACTTCACAGATTTCCTGTCAGGCCGACGATAACAAATTATTTGTATTTATTTTTGCTTTAAAAAAACTTTTTGTGAGGAGTTAATCGGAGAAATGGGAACAAAGATTTTAAGAAAATGCGAAATTGATCACTCTGTAAATAATTGGCAACATCTTTTTATCAACTTTAGTAAGGTAATGACATAGTAGGAGTTCTCATAATTTTCAAGATTGTGACTTTATAAAAAATTCCTAAGCATTTTTCATAGAAATTATAAATACTTAGCCATTTACCATTAACTATTACTAAGTACAGTATTTATACATTGCCAGGGCAGTCGCTCATACAAAACTTTACCATGTCCTTTACTAAAATGTTAGAAGAACACCGCGAAACAAAACTGACAGTAACGAGCGTATGGGCAAAAGGCAAAGCATACACGCTACGTTCGCCGCTTGACCAAAAGCTGACTGGCTTGTCACTGTGCCCATAAATTTAACAAAAAAATTGTCGAAAACGTTGTTCGGAATGCCAATAAAAAAATATGCATCTATTATTTGAAAATGGATTTGGAAACAATATTTGATTTCAGAACTCAAAAATTCATGACAAATAATGTAACCGAGAATGGCTATTGAAACTCTCTGGTATTATTAACAGCATTGGTCCTAGGAGGAGGGAGGAAAATCAATTCGACAGTAGACATTGTTTCCAAAAATAAAAAGAATGGATCTTGAACACAAAAGGTTGGGGTTATTTGATCAAGTACCTGCATTGAACGATCTACGATACGCCCTCTTACTGTAGGTATTTCTTAGTGATATTGTCCACAATACGAACAACGGAGGTTTTCCGCCTTTTGTTTATTCCTCGATTAGTGTAAATTGTACCTATTTAAGGGCATGTACTTCCGTTTCCATTTGAAACGATATGATACTGAGACAAAAGTATAATGACGACCGTTTTCAAAGCCCCCTTATTTCTATAGCTATAGGTACCTACCAGAATTTATCCAACGGTTTCGTGATTGCTCTCTTTGGTGATTGAAACTAGCAATGTTTTACTAACCAAGTGATCAAAAATCTATTTAAGTTCCTCTAAAAAGAGAACAATAGCTAGTTCTTCTCGAATAGATGTGATAAAAAAATATTTACGAAAAAGAGGTATAACGTTACGAAGTTCGCTGGGTCAGCTAGTTTAAAATAAAATTGTGAAATAATGCAAGTAAACATGTATCGTGATCATATCCTTATTTACTTTGCATCGAGCATCTCGACATGTTCATTCCCAGGACGTTTAATTTGGCAATTATTAATGAAAAAAAATAATGGTTAAGTATGTACACAAACATACAAGCCGTCTACCTGGGCGGGTATATTAGGGAATCATTCGAATAAAATCGATATCGCCCAGCGTATGTGATCTGCGTGTGCGTATCGCACTAGCGGTGGTTGTTGTCTTACGAATTTTCGTATATTTGATATGTGATTAGAATTAGAATTAGCTATAATTTTGTGAATTATTACGTGTGCGATCTCCTGTGAAATACCAAACAAAAATACTGTGCCATGTTTTCTAGTGTGTCCTGGAACTGAGGGACATTCGTTCGAGAGAATAAGGTAAGGCGGCTAATATATTCCTTATTTTCTGTCTGTGTGATTGCTGTTTTATACGTTTTGGGAATTCATTTCTTTAATTCCAACCCCTAAATCCAAATGTATGCGGATATAGCCGGTCTCGCTACAAAACAAAGTTAATATCTAAAAATGATCATAGTTATAGGTACTTTACTATTAATACTACTTAGTTTATTAAGTAACTACAATATTTTTATACGTCCGTTAAGTAAGCTCACCTTTAAATCTATATTTCTTTCAAGCAGCCCTCTATAGAAGATCCTCACGGGAACAATGTTCATTTCTTTACACAAATCTAAGTACAACTCTTGACCATCGCGAGGATATATTTTTCTTTTCTCTAGAATTTCAAAAAACAATATTTCTATTATTTTCTGTAGCACTAAAACAAAATTTAGTTATCAACAGGTTCTCAAAGCGTTTATACCAATTACTGGAACGAACCACAAGAATGTATAAATTCACTCTGCAAAAGATAGATAATTAATTAGGTGTAAGTACTAAGTGTGTTTGAGCACTAATGTAGGCCAAAACTTCACCTCTCAATTAGCACTTTTGACAAGTCAATGTTTCATGGATGACATAAAGGATAATTATGAGCGGCAGATGACCTTGCCCTATTTATTCCGAGCAATCTCCTAGACCCAAGGAATACCAAATGTGTCGCACTGAGGTGTTAAGTATAGTAGTGATGTATATACATATATGTTTAACTCACTAGGTGCAAGTGAACCCCACAATGCATACATAGAATCAATACCGTCTTTGACCTATTGGAGGCCCTGGGCATATTAGGATAATGGGGCCCCTATGAATTCCGTTTGATGATTTAACAGGAATATTATTAAAAAGGCAGCTTATTCCAATGGCTAAATCCTAACGTAGACCTACAGGCAAAATACAGCCTCAATAGGTATAAAGCATTTTCCTTTGATAAGCCAAGCATTATGTTTGCCAAACTCATTTGAACTCCAGTTTGGTTGAGACAGTAATGTTAACGCGACCTCTTTATTAGTTCTTATTTGGAGCCTTTTGATGTCTTAAACTACGTATTACATAAAATTCAATATATTATTTATCAAATAGTGAAACGAGTTTAGTATAAAAATGTTTATATCTCCCACAGCACGAGTTCGTATTTATACTTTGTGCGTTTTTCTAGCTAACAAAGAAACATTAATTACATAAGTGCATTAGCCTCCAAAACTACCCTATCCGTTGATAATATAGCTAGCCACGACACGTCATTCGAATGCTTACATTTACGATCAGAATTCAAACTAACACAAACTCTACAATAAAAAAAATCAAACGACGAACATCTAGTTGCTTAGTAAAAAACACACATTAATCTATCGAAATAGATGATTTTTTTTTGTATTATATAAACGAAGAACTAATTATAGCAGATACGAGGCCAAAAAAGCGTAAAATTATAACATTACCTGGTTGCAACAGAGCTCCTTCTATTCCAGGATCTTTAATAGCCGGATAAGCGTAATAGACATGTCTGAATACCGAACTGTCTGATAGTGGAATGTATTTGGCACATATCTCGCCACTGCCAGGGTCATATAAGCCTTGCTTGAACAGAACCATTTTAGGTGCGTCTGGTGCTTCGATCTCGAACAGAGATGACCACTGCTCCATTGGAGGTTCAGATGATGAAGTCGAAATGGTACGTTGGTATAATTCTTTTATAGGGGCTTGAGTAGTGTCAGTCTCTTGTGAACTACACGAAGACATTTTCTGGCTCAAATACTATTACTTCTTAATTCAATAAATAAGTTATAGAATACTTCTAAAATAATTGTTCATAAATACTTATTTATCTTAATGTTTGAAATAAAATTAGAATGTTTTCTTTGTTGTACAGACGTTGTCGAAGTCATCACAAGTTTTGACAAGCATTCTAGTGACATATTTGGCATGTATTATAATTTTACAGTTTTTAAACTCCAGCCGGTATCATAGAAAATTAATGAAAAAATATAATTAACAATTCACAAGCTGACGCCAAAAGTCTATCCGATTCATCACATTCAATCGCTGGTATCTAATACCAGCGATTGAATGTGTGGACCATCCAAAATATTTTATCATGTAAATAACATCGCCATGATAATGACGCGCAAGCCCTAGAGCGAGATTCTTCATCCAAGTGTAAGCTCGATATCTTAACGAAAGAGAAAATGCTAATAGAAAAAAACGAGTGTGCTGATGACCAAACGACTGTAGTGAAACTTCTTTAGCTCCATCTGTATTTGTGTATACGTGTGTGTGTGTGTAAAATGTATATATGTATGTAAATATACATATTTCATTTACTAAATATAAGAGAAAGAGAGAAAGAAAATGTGCACGCGCACTGCTTTCTCTTGCTTATATCCCCACTCAACTCCCGTTCGCCTCGCTCGAACATACTTTCCGCAACGCGTAACGCATTCGCCAGCTCGCCCCCCAAGTCCAGCGTGCGTAAAGGCTCATTTGCCGCGAGTTGGCCGCGAGCATAATGTTGAACATAGAATCGAGTAGTTAGTACATGCCATTACATTACATAAAAAAAGGTCTTGTCTACAAATTCCTTTATGTATTAAGAGAAAGAACCACCACAAAAAAAACATATCATAACTAAAATCATACTCAAATTCTGTTGCCCAAAGAAAATGCCAATCTATCTCCAGATCTTAACATATCAATCAAAATAAATTTGGAAAATGTATTCACCGCACGGGCTATTTTATAATAAACAAAGCATAATCTGGAACTAGTTACACAGTGTTTTGTCTTTGTTTCTCGAACAACATTATATAATTTCAGTGATGTGGACTAAACAAAGTCCAAACCTAAATTTAATTCGTGATATAGGAGGTGATGGTATAAAGCGTTCTCTTAGACAAGACGCAATCAATAACCTACTCAATTATTATACAACCTCTATCAGACATGCAAACTTTATATAACTTGTTTGTAGGAACCATAGAGCTAGAATTCCTAAAGTGTGTAACAGACTAACAGCATAACGGAAAAACTCAAAGAACTACTGAAACGCTTTCAAAAATTCTTTCACTATTAAAATGCTACATTATCCATGCTAATGATATAAATGCGAAAGTGTGCTCCTTCTTCACGCTTAAGCCGCTGAATCAATTTAGAGAAAACTTGGTATAGAAGTAGTTTCAGTTCCGGTAAAGGACATCTGATAGTTTTTATCCCAAAAACCTCCTTTCATGGGCCGAAAGGAGTATGGAAATTTGTCTGGGAAGCCAATTGTGCCACCCTCTATTAGGCTATATTTTATCACTTTGAAATAAACTTCACCAGTACAAGGCCGTGGCAGTTCGCTAGTCATTTATAAATAAGGGAAGTTGTGTCTCGTGATCAATAGATCATGTCTCCATTAAAAGAGAATAGTAAATAGCATAACTATGAATCAAAACAAACAAATATGTACTACTAAAGAAAGAGTCGAGGACTCCGACCTTACCTAACCAGTATAACTAAACCTAGCCTAGCCTTTGTGGAGATCTGGAGGCTATTACTCTTTCTCTCTCTCTCTCTAGATCTCCTTAAATGAAAACGAGTGCCCGTTTCTTATTTTTGGCGATCCTCGCGAACATACAGATAGACGCGGCGGAGAACTTTATAAATTGTGTGGTTTAATTGGTCTCGATGTTTGATTGCGTAGGTCTATGGTGTGCGGATAAACAGCCGGCGGGCGCCGCACGCGCCGTCGTGTGAGTGCGGCGTGCGGCTGCCCTGCAATATCCCGCCGAACAAACATTTGCCCGGGCAGGACCGATTGACGAGTTTTCAAAACCGTTTCGTGGTATAATAAAGGAAAAATACTTATAGTCTCTACTATTTTATTGGCGAAATCTTTAGACTTTTTTTTCTCATTTGGTGTTTTTTTTTTCATGATAAGATTATTTACAACTAGGCGAATGGGGGCTAGGCGAAAAAGAGTGTAAATTTTTTTGGGCATAAACGTCAGTTTTTGTTGTTTTTTACGATATAAGAGATGGCAAATAAGAATTTGTCCCTTCTGTTGATCATTGCAATGGCCGCTACATAGAACTGTTATTTTTACGTTAAAAGAGTTTGCAAATAAGAATGTTTCACTTCTGTTGATCATTGGCCGCTACAAACTTGTGCGGTACCGAAAAGTACCGTACTTGGGTGGGGATAGGCTTAACACCAGTAAAGTTTATTTTAAGCAGGGTTGGTCTAAGCATGCCCCTTTATCGCACATCTGTCCAATGTGTCCGAAGGCGTAGGGCCTTAGGGGAGAGCGCTACAGTCGTGTAGATCCCTAAGGCAAGCCAGGTATGTTATCCTTCCCACGGTTGCCACCTGTTACACATTGTTCATCCTTTTGATGAAGAGTGCAACTACCTGACGCATCCCCCATAGAATTCCTCACCCATGGGATGGTAGGAATGGTTCTATGCATCCTTATCGTAATCCGCCATAATCAACGACGTGGTCACGCTGACATGGGTCAGTCATCCAAAAAACCAGGATGTCGGGTTGAAATTGACCACCTGCGTGTTTGCCGTGCGTGGAGACCTGTCCGGAGGGATCAAGGGATCCTGGAGGTTGAGGCCAAAGAGTTTCTCTCTTCTTCTCTTTGGCCCTGATTTCAATCACAACAAGTGTACCGCAGAAGAGCAGATACAGACCCGTGCTGCCTACTGTAAGCATACTCCAATCCTAGTACTTCCCTTCTAAACTAGACCAATAATAAACAGGTTTCCTCATTTTTGATCCTGCGGTGCAATTCTGTAAGAACAAACTCACTTATCACCACATGAGTAAAAAAACGTACAGTCGGTACTTTTCACCGCGAAATTCGCCTGTGTGATTTGAAATTTATTTGAAACTAGCTGTGCCCCGCGATATAACACGCGGTTTATTAGGGATATTTTCCCGCAGTAAAACGTAGCTTATGTGTTAATCCAGAGTGTCAGCTAACTATGGAGTTAGACCAAATTTGATTAAAATCGCTCCAGCCGTTTAGACGCGAAGAAGTAACAAACATACACACTCACAAACTTTCGCTTTTATAATATTAGTATGATTTCAGTTCTTATTGTTAATTACACCGCTGATTCCGAGGTGAATACTGAGTTTTTTCTTACAGAATAACACGACTGAAGTATTATATCAATGCGCTCCTTAAAGACAAAATAATAAATAACAATGGCAGACATTAATTTAAGCAAGGACCCAACATACAGCGAAATAGTCTAAGGGAATGTAAAGCAATGATACAGTATAGTATAACAGAGATTTATAAACTTTTTATGACCAATGCCGTCTGTTTTTATGTTCCTTTATTAAAGAGTTCCCGCGTATTCCGGTGTAATAAAGTTTTTACAAGGACTTGAGTCGCATCTTCGATCGTGTTTTATTTATTGTAAGTAGGATGTTCATAATTTATAATACTTTGGTAGAATGTATTTACTTGCATTATTAAGCTACCAAGGCAGTCGACGCTTCCAAGGCATTGCAATACTTGCTATTAATTATGAACGTTTTCGCTTATCATTTCTTAACTGTAATTACTCAAGTACGTCCTTCTGGTGTAAGGTCACTCGGGGAAAATGTAGCTGTATCAAATAACTCGTTTCTGTTTTCTTTTTAAAATAACAAACATTTGTGCTCTGTAGAGGCTCTGTAGAGCAAAAGTTACTCTACAGAGCCTTAAATGTTTGTTATTTTAAAAACAAAACAATAAAGAGTTATTTGCCCCAGGACTTCATGTGCCCCCTACAATTGCCCTGTGTGACCTTATACCATTCTTTTTCGAATCGGAATTACCTATTTAAATTTCGTTTTAAACCTAAATAAACTTATTACTCTTAAATCTTGTTTAGGCAAAACTCATGTTTAACTTTTAACCTAAGCAAACGAAAGATTTCACTGTTCAACAATAAGTGTTAAAAAAACATAACATCCTCACAATTATTATCTTCGGAAGTAACCTGTTCAGGTGTTTTAAGGACGCGAGCTTCATCTCTTAACACATAATACATCTTCAGGTAGTAAATAAATCAAGTCGAGAAACAATACGGCGTGTTGATGGCGCTAGGAATCATAAAAACGCCATTAAGGAGCGGTTAACGCATTCTGAGCTCAGGAGATGTGAGACGTAGACGGTTTGGTGGAATAATGCTTCAAGGGATCGCAGTGCGCCCTTAATGTAATGCCTGGTGTAAATCGGACGTGTGTGAAATTTGTTATAATATGCATGACATTGATGCGAATCAAAACAAATATCTGAAGTCTAAGCCGTAGGGACTCGTTTGAGTTAAAGCATAAATCCTTTTAGATTATATTTACTTTTGGCGTGATAACGTCTTATTAATCGATGAACACCGGCTGCATGCACGATAAAGTGTGACGTCATGTCACGAGTCACGAGTTAGTTCAACGTTACGCGGTGTGTCTGAGGTGTAATCGAGGGGTTCTAGTGACTACCCCCTCTCTCCCTCCTGACATTCCCTGATCATCCTGAGCCCCCTGTCCTCCCTTACCCCTCTCCGAAGTACCCTCGAAGAGTACCTAACTGGCCCCATAAGAGCTGCAGAGACGTGCTTGGGTTCAAACGAACCTGAACAAACAGCTCACAAAACTTCCCCGAGGAAAACAGCGAACGACACGTTATCACGTAGAATTATCGTCCATAAACCAACTTTACAGACATCCATTTTTTATATCAAACTTAGGTACTCGTACGCAAATCTTGGCAAAAGCGTTGAAGAATCTGTAAACACCATAAGTTTGTTCTGTAATGAGGTCATAAGGAAATAAGAAACTATAGTTTTCACTTTTCCTAAGAATGTTCATGCCCTTAATTTTTTATTTTCCCGTCAAAAAGTAATTAATGTCTTTTAGAAAGGTTCAAAGCATCGCATCGCAATACTAAAATTCATTATATTCGTTTGTGTAGGTAAGTTGTTTAGGCGTGAAATCATAATGCCATGGCAACTATTCAGCCACACTGCTGCACTATAGTAAACATTTTCCGTTTTGACGACAAGTCGGGCCAAGCAATAGTCAAATTTCAGAACAGGTCAGAAAGGCGACTATTGCTTGATTAGATGCGTCGTGAAAACGGCAATAAGCTAGTTGACCCTTTTTGGAAAAAGG